ACGTGGGGTCAGGGCCCTGACTTCTATCCAGAACGGCCTTGGCTTCTGCAATCATTTGATCAGGCAGGAATTCTTTGTTTTATTTGATACTGCCGTCCTGACATCGAGTGACTCCTATCAGGTCCATTTTGAAGTCATCGATGCTGAAAGTTATCCAGAGGTATGAGGGCCTATTATTTTATTTGGCTTAATGACAGACTTCGCCGCAATAGATCGAGAGACAGTTTGATTCAGGCTCCTACAAATTTAAAGTAACTCGATTTCATTTTCTTCATAGCGAGTCACGAAGCTCACACACATAGATTGAACCAAGGACGTTCTCCATGGAGGAATACAGGGAGCTCACACACAGCATTTCCGATCAAGTCTTGGACTTCCAGGAACGCCAGCGTACATGCTCGTTGATTCAGAACAAGAGGTAAGTATGTATACATCATGAAGGAACCGTCTCTGTCGATGTCTGATGTAGCAACAGAGAGCAGGAGCTCCTCTCGGAGTGGGAAATAGACAAGCAAGCAATCTCACGCACCATCACCTCTGGAGGAGGTACGCCATCTCACCATATAAACCCAGTCCTAAAAAGTGATTTAGATGCCTAGCGTTCCCCGAATCATCGACGACAACCATCAACGCACCACTATTTGCTTCAGTAGGGAAAATAAAATGTCAGCCTGGTGATCGGATCAAATCAGCAGGCGACATATTGCTGGTACTGGAAGCTATGAAGATGGAAATTCCAGTCAGAAGCGGTGAAGCAAACGTCGGCAAGACCATCGAACGCCTCGGTGAAGGTATTATGGAAGGGGCTTCAGTACGTCTTGGCGATGTACTTCTTATTCTGTCGTAGTCGATTCACATAGTGTAACAATGAAGCTATTCGTTGTTGAAGGAATTCCAATGAAGGGATCATTACCGCAGTTATTCAGGTGTCCCACCACTCAGCGTAGGGACTCTAAAGCACTGGCACTAAAACGTTAAATAAATAAAAATAATCGAAAGGGGTTGGTCGTTCACGTGAATGAAAGCTTTCAATTTCAACTCTCATCTTGCTCTCATCACCGAAGCCATTTTGGCGATAAATCACACGTCGATGGGAGGCATGACATTGTCTCATCTGCGTTGAACCATCGAACGACTCTACCTCCAAAACAATTCGAGCAACCCGCCGTATACGACTTGTTGGTATTTTTGAAACTCGACATTCTCAGGGCTTCCCATCGTCTTATATACCAACCTCAGTCCCACGCATAGCGCGCACACACACGGCGCCTGTCATAGCCGCCACTCAAAGTACTGGCGACCTGCTAACTGAGAAGGATCCGCCAAAACTGCTCAATCTCACCTCTCACGCTGCGAAACCCTCTCTGTCTATTGGCGACTCGAAACAACTGAGGAAAAATGCCTCGGGTATATAAACGAGAAATCTGATGCAGAAGAAGGCAACCCTTTCGTTTTTGCGAGGATGCGCTTCTCGTTCGCCACTTTAGCTGGCATCTTGCCATCGGTGCTTGCAGCCACACGGCACTTCGACCTATCCATTGTAAACGGTGTTTTAGCCCCCGATGGATTCGAGCGCGAGTAAGGCCGGGCCCGTAGAACTGTTGTTGCACCGGACTGATAGAATCTTTATTAAGGGTTATCTTGGCTGGCGGCACGTTCCCTGGACCTGCTTTCCGCGTCAACAAGGGTGACTCCGTGGTCATTCCGACACATAACAAATTGCTCAATCCGCTTATGAGACAAAGTACCTCTATTGTAAGTTTGCGAAACACCGTAATTCCATGTGTCAAGGCTCACACCAGATAGCATTGGCATGGTTTCTTCCAAGCTCGTACTTCCGACATGGATGGCCCTGCGTAAGCCTAATTTCACTTCTTACAATCTGTTCAATCTAACAGATATTTGATAGATTCGTGACCCAGGTAAATGAGCAAATCGCTGCACTTGGAACGAAGGCTGATAAAACCAGTGTCCAATCGCACCCAACAAGACATTTACATATGCCTTCTCTACAGCAGGACAAACGGGAAAGTTCGTACCTATTTCCTTATCCCCTAACATCATCTTAAAGGTGCAACATAGCTTCTGGTACCACTCTCACCTATCCACTCAGTACTGTGATGGTCTTCGTGGCGTTTTTGTAGTTTATGGTAAGTGAATAGGTCGAGTGAGTGTATAATGTGACCAACATACCCTTGTCAAGATCCGGACGACCCTCTTAAGCATCTCTACGATGTCGACGATGGTGCGTGGCTTTTCCTTACGTTAATGGTAAACAAAAGCTGATTATCAGGGTATAGAGAACACTATTATAACCTTGGCAGATTGGTATCACGACCTTGCTCCGGCGGCACAGAATACGTTCTTCCAGTCCGGCGTTGTTCCGTAAGTTCGCTTTCAGTAACTAACAAGTGTACTCTACTGATCCACAATGTAGCATTCCTGACTCAGGTTTGATCAACGGCAAAGGGCGATTCATCGGTGGTCCACTTGGTATGTGCCACCTTAAAACCATTGTAAAAAGTCGAATCTCTTACGCGGACCAGTTCCATATGCTGTCGTCAACGTTGAGCGAGGCAAGAGGTACAGGCTGCGCATTTTCGCGATTGCCTGCCGGCCATTCTTTACCTTCTCCATTGATAATCACAACATCACTTTCATCGAAGCCGATGGAATTGAGCACGACCCCACCACTGTCCAGAACGTCGACGTCTACACAGGTACGTCTGACTGCTAACGTAGTATGAGAAGACCTTCATTCTTCTTCTAGCACAACGTGTGTCTGTCATTTTGAACGCGAACCAGCCTGTTGGCAACTACTGGATCAGAGCGCCACCCACTGGTGGTGCCCCTGCCCCTGCCGGGAACCCCAACTGTACGTTGTCCTTTGCTAGCTTCAATCTGAACGAGCTTTGACTTTGGTTTAGTCGACCCTACTCTTACTAAGGCTATTTTGAGGTACAGAGGCGCACGGGACGTCGAGCCCACTACCAACAACACGGTCGGGCCTAAGCTCCTTGATCAGCAGATGCACGTTCGTTCGGCCGTCTTTTCTTGCTGTAATAATAGTTGATGACACTCTTCCACAGCCCATCGCGTCAGAACACCCTGGAATGGTATGTACACATGTGAGCTTTTGTCTCGCCTTCATGCTCATGCTCCTCAGCTCGGATCGGGACCTCCAGACGTCGGTAAGAATGTGGCACATGTCCTTACGAATACTGTATTAATGAATCGATTCAGCAATCACTCTGAATATTGCTCAGGTATAAGTGAATTGGATTTTCGCCATGCAGTGCCGCTAACGTGGTGATTCAGCCTAACCCGCCATTCTTCGACATCAACGGCATCTCGTACATCTCGCCCACAGTCCCTGTTCTTCTACAATTGCTTAGTGGAGCAGCACAGGTGAAGCGCGTCAAATACGTGTCGCTACCGATGGCTCACCGCTATTCATTTTAGCCCCAAGATCTCCTCCCCTCGGAGCAAATGTACGTACAGGTATGCGTTTGGTGTAGTATCGTGCTCATTCAGGTCGATAGATTTATCTTGCCTAAGAACAAATTGATTCAGGTCAACATTCCTGGCGGAGGAGGTACGTACAAGTGCCTTGCACCTCATCTCGATCTAACAAGCCGATGAACTTTAGCACATCCTTTCCATTGTAAGTGGAGTAACCTCGACCTCACCTATTTCTTTCCTCACGACCAACCACAGTGCACGGCCACGCCTTTGATGTCATCCTTCCTTCGAACGACAACGTAACCAACTTTGTGAAGTAAGGCTCACTCCAATGCACAAATAGCCACGACTGACAGGGTACTTTCCTCAGCCCACTCCGGCGTGATGTCTATCCGAGTAAGTATTCGCCTCTTGTCTGCTCACGCATTTGCTCATACGCCCGCTAGTCAATGGAGGGAACACAACGTTCCGTTTCTGTACGCCCATTTCTTCTTCGTCTCTTGGTAAAGCTGATTTGTCCCCAAGTCTCTGGGAACCCGGGTGCCTGGTTCTTGCATTGGTACGTTTCTTATCCCGTATGCTCAAAACAATTTGAACTTGACTCCTCGACCAGCCACATCGATTGGCATCTCGAGGCAGGCCTCGCCATCGTGTTTGCTGAGTCGCCTGCGGACAATATTGCTGGGCCGCAGTCCCAAATCACTCCTGCAGACTGGATTGGTCTGTGCCCCGAATATGATAGCTTGGCAGCCGACTTCCAGTAATGGTAGAAGAACTCGAATGAAACTGTACCAATTGTATATGGAAATACCTGTTCACAACGTGTTGTCTTGCAAGGCTGTCGTCACTCAAGGCTGAACTGAAGTAGACGTGAATGGATTGATTACAAGTACAGGTCAGAGAACAGTGGTTACAAAGGACGACTATATGGTTGAACATCTGCATTTCATCAATCGTCTGAACGCCGATGGACAAAATAAAATAAAAGCAACTCACGGAAAGAAGTAACAACGAAGATCCTTTGGCTTGACGAGAGATGACTGTCCAAAAGAGGATATTAGTATATGACTGAGGAAGGAAATCACGGAGAGAATCAGACGAAAGGGCACTGGCAAGTACACTGTGCGCTCCGTAGAACGCGTATCTGTTGCGAACAGATGTGCTCTATTCCTCGGCATGGTCGTGTAGGACGGGGAAGAGAATAAAGTCATCACTTGGATCTTCCAGCCCACAAATGGGCATGAAAGACAAAGCAAAGAAAATCAATACTCACATTTAAAGAACGAGTTGTGATGAGAGCAATTTTCTGAAATTTTTTTGTACCTTGATGTTTGGCATGGTCCGTGCACGGTCACGTTTTGACTGACGCTTTTCAACAAAATAAGGTTCAGTCAATCTGAGACTTTTCGTACTTTGACTTGTAGCAACCTTTTTGGGAATTCCTGCGATCGTACGTGCGCCACAACGCCCTTTCCTCTATTTCCCCTCCGTTTACGCTGTATTCTGGACATATTTGCCCTTGAATACACCCATTCGAAGCCGCGTTGGCGTAGGGGTAGCGCGTCTCACTTGTAGCAACAGTAGGATGCTGGTCCACTACGCGATGAGAAGGTCACTCGTTCAATCCGGGTACGTGGCATGTCTTTTTATGTGGCGCTTGTCCCGCAGCGAATGAATCTTGTGTTATCGCCCAGTGTGGAATTGGTGTTGAATCGAGAGCATCGCAAGAACATCATCCATTCTTCACGTTCGCTTAGCATCTGTGTTGTCTGGTGCCCTGTACTATTAATTACTCAACTGTCGCGTCGACGTCGTTCGACGATCGTTCTCATCAGCCCTCTACTAGAGCTTGCCAAAACAAATCGAGCCTTTCCTTGACAACCTAGGAAGAAGTTGTATCAGCTGAACCAAGGTGATGTACCCACACAGACCTGTCTACTATCGGTTTCCGTTGTTTTCTTAGCATAGTTCAACATGGCGTGACCCAGTAACTCACTTTTGTCAATTTCCACCAAAGGCAATGGTACATACGACGATCCCATCAGCAGATGCCATGAAATCTTCCTGAACCTGTGCACGCTGTTCATTTGGCATTCCACCGTGATATATAGTATCGTCTATTCCATGGGGCCGTAAACAAGTCGCGACTTCTTTGCGTGGTTTTGGAGGGTGACACATACAATCGAGGGCCTTCCGAATGAGTGCAAGTAGAGGCAATACGACTAGTGTAAGCCTATAACGCAAATTCGAGCATCAAGCTTAAGTGTGCTGCTGGCACAGGTTAAGCACTAACATCGAGGCACAACGCCGGGATCTGGTATGTCAGACTTTTCCCCCCTGTGCAAGATTAAGGTTGGGAACGCGTTTGGACAAGCGAGACGTGAACCTCCTGTCGGAAACATGACGAGAGCATTTACATCGTCTACCAATACTTAAACGAGAGATAACCTACTGGTGAAAGCAAAACGGACATGAAGATAGAACTGCGCACATTTTCTTGGGATAGTCATAGGATAGCTTGAAGGAATCGAAGGCAAAGACGTCCTTGAGAACCTGATGAGCTTGCAACGCGGTTGTGGATGCAATCACGTCGAACGTTGGTTAAAGGATCGGATATCTCCGAGTGTCATACAGTGTTTCACCGTTCCTTGGTACACCAAATTGTATCAAGGAGTGATGGTGTACCAAGGACCGGTAAAACACTGTACCCCTCCGCCCTACCCCACATTGAGGGAATAGAGCAGCAGCGATCCCGTTCCAGAGGCAGTTCTGAACAGACACCGTCCATCGTCGAGGATACCTCACTTTTTCGACTTCAAGACCCTTCTGCCTATTTGAGCACCATCTTCACCCAAATCAAAGAGCAATCCGCTCTTTAGGAAGGCTAGGTCTGCATTCGAGAAGCCTATGTCCAATAATCGTAATCGCCACTTCCATTTCAACGACCCTGACAACGTCAATGTTGCCCCCGAGCAAGGTAACGTGAGCTCAGTCATTCATCCTCGCTCTTGATCTGCTCACGTACGCATTTTACAGCCACAGTTCACTGGGTCAGGGGAGAACTACTTGGGAAGGGGTGTCATGCTAGGGTTTATCTCGCACTCAACGCGGACACTGGGGAGCTTATGGCTGTTAAACAAGTGGAACTTCCTCAAACACCCAGCGATATGGCAAATTCTCGCCATCAGGAAATTGCAGAGGCTCTAAAATTCGAGCGTAAAACATTAATGGGTCTTGATCATCCGAACATTGTTCAATATCTCGGATATGAGGAGAGCACCAAGTATCTAAGCATGTAAGCTCCAAATTATTTTCTCAATCTCCAGGCCCTCATCAGGCTCTAACAGATTCCTGGAATATGTTCCTGGCGGTACAATATCGTCCTGTCTCCAGAACCATGGTATATTCAGTGAAGAAATCACCAAATCTTTCACTCGCCAGATCCTTGAGGGTTTGGAATACCTGCACCGTATGGGTATTATACACCGGGTAACTAACATCGCACCACCGAAAGCTCTGTCTGACCACCAGCCCTCAGGACCTCAAATCTGACAACATCCTTGTTGAACCGTCAGGCGTCTGTAAAATCTCGAATTTTGGCAACTCAAAACAAGTTGAGGACATCTCTCAAGGAAGAGCTTACACCGGCTTGAAGGGGACAATATTTTGGATGGCCCCTGAAATATTGGATAACGGAGACAAGGGCTACGACGCTAAAGTCGATATCTGGAGTATCGGGTGCATCGTCTTAGAAATGTGGACAGGCGAACGCCCTTGGTTCGGTGAAGAAATTTTCCCTGTCATGTTAAAGGTAGCTCTATTCATTGCGTCTCGCCCATACATGACTCAAGGTTCTTTGGATTGATCTCAGCTCTCTCTCGAGAAGCTTCCTCCTCCAGTACCTTCTCACTTGAATCTGACAGACGATGCCGTTGATTTCCGTCACCAGTGTTTTCAAAGGTATGCAAATTTTGACATTAACTGCCAGCTCTGATGATGGCCCAGAGAACCTCAAAATCGCCCGTCTGCAGCTGAATTGCAGAAGCATCGGTATCTCAGGCTATCACCGAACTGGATGTTTGAACCTTTCGGCTTGCACTAAAGTCTTATCCTTCTTGCCGAATACAGCGAGTTCGAAGTCTTGGCAGAATTGGGTGATGTTTTTACTCTGTAAATATCTTAGCTAGTGTCGAGATGCCACGGAATGATGTACGTACGCCCTCATGATTCATCAATTTGGATGTCTTTTGCATTGCTGCGGCACTCTAGCTCTCAGTCGTAGCATCTAGAAGTCGAATCCACACTGCCATAAGGTTCTTGCGGGCAGGTTCCATGTAGGTGCTGAGGCCTTAGGTCACAGCTGTCAATGAAATCTGTGTTGAACACGTTCGTGGACATATAAAGCATCTCTAGGTGTATGATATTCTTAATTTCCCTCGTTAAAAATAAAGCGTAAGAAATTCAACGAATGACTCAGATTCTGGCGGCTTGAAGTGCGTCGAGCACAACATGAGCGTGCTCGTTCTTTGAAAGGTGTTTTTCGTGGGGGCGCGGAATATCGGGGGTGTGCGAAATGTTCTCTTTAATGGATCGTGAGGTAGTTGTTGAGTGAGCGAAAAGAGTAGTGTCTACGTTAGTTGAACTGTGGTCGAACGGACGAGCCAAAGTGATTTCAGAGGGGGTGAGAGGTATATTGAAGTGTTGAACAGGTGGCGTAGATCGACACGTCCAGCAACAGCCTCGGAGAACTGGCTATGGGACGAAATATGGGCACCGTGATGCATGGCGGTATGGCCTCCAAGCACAAATGAGTTGACCTGTGGTCACAGCTGGGAGATTAGTATACAACCCACAAGGACAAGATGACGAACATACCTATCGTCTACATCAATGTCCACATGATCTTTGAAGACTGAAGGGGCCGTCAACGCATGGTCCCATGAGAATTCTGGTCTTGTAGAGTTTCCGGGGCATTCATGGTGTTACAGGAGTTAGATATGGGCCGCCAACGTATACGTAAAAGCCGCTTGCACTAGAATCAGCAGAGTTTGCAGGTGAACCATGCAAGCCTGAATTGGAGATCAAGGTGAAACGCACCGAGGTTATTGACATATTGCCGTCCCAAGGTTGCTGCACTTTGCTAGATCATCGTCCTCGAGGTACGTCCACGACCGTTGGAAGCTCCTGGTGAGACGCTAAGAAAGAATACGACTGGAGAGGAAGAGCATTATTCAGCTTGACGGGGTATCCAAAAGAGTCAAGAAGGAAGAATTCTTCTTGACCGGCGGCTGCTGGTATGATTGCACGAAGAAGCAAGGGGAAACAAAGTGCAGCTCGCTATTGACGACGTACTTATCCCCTTTTGGGTTGTTCTCGTGGGAAGTGATGCATCATTGTTGATCAATTTGCATATAGTTCGGACGCGATAACAAGTCTTTACATTGATTCCTTATCTTCGAAGACACCTGATAAGCACCTCTTATATCTGAATCAGATGTTTCCTAAGTGTGAATCAGTCAAGAGGTGGATGCTCACCCATTGGAATTAGTCAAGTGCATCATACCCCACCCCAAAAACACTCTCAACGGTCGCATCCTTGGCCTCAGAGCGCCTATTATAGCTCCCAAAGGCATCATCGACGGTGGCATCTGCCTCGGAGCGCCTATTGTAGCTCCCAAAGGCATCATCGACAGTGGCATCGGCCTTGGAGCGCCTATTATAGCTCCCAAAGGCATCATCGACAGTGGCATCTGCCTCGGAGCGCCTATTGTAGCTCCCAAAGGCATCATCGACGGTGGCATCTGCCTCGGAGCGCCTGTTGTAGCTCCCAAAGGCATCATCGACAGTGGCATCGGCCTCGGAGCGCCTGTTGTAGCTCCCAAAGGCATCATCGACGGTGGCATCGGCCTCGGAGCGCCTATTATAGCTCCCAAAGGCATCATCGACAGTGGTATCTGCCTCGGAGCGCTAGTGATACAATTACTGAATATACAAAGAAACATTCATCAGGTTATGCCCTCACCACGTTGAAGTTAGTTATAGGAACCGCGATAGCGATAGCGACCAAGGCACTGAGGACGATAATACTTGAGTTCTTCATTGTGCTAGGTGTTGGTAAGTTTCGAGCTTTGTAATGAGTGCTAAAGACTTTCTCTGGGGTTTTTATCTCAAGCATGTCCAAAGTGTCCTTTATAGCAGAAAGCTGATTTCTGTAACTGGTCAAAGCCGAGCTTCAGTATCACTTGACGTCGTTGACCTTGTGCTTTAATTCCGACGAAGACTTGGGTAAAATGTGTGATTTGACGATTGCGATAAGTCATTGTGCAATGCGGCACAATGTTGAATGACTGGGGATAACTAAAGATTTGATGAACAGCGGCGGAAAAGAGGGGGAGAATACATTATTCGACAGTCGAGGTAGGTCATCATGCGGTGCGACACAATGTTGCTCGATGAACAGCAGCAGGGAAAGGTGGGAGAATCGGTCATTCGACAATTGCGATAAGTCATATGTGGTGCGGCACAATGTTGAATGACTGGGGATAACTAAAGATTTGATAAACAGCAGCCGGGAAGGGTGGGAGAATCGGTTATTCGACAATTGCGATAAGTCATGTGTGGTGCGGTACGATGTTGAAT